CATACAAAAAGTAAATTAGTAACGTTAATGATATAAAATGGTGAAATCCCATCGCTAACTAAATTTTAAAGATGCATTAACCTACTAATCACTCGATGAATGTTATCATCATTTTCTTTTAAAAACTGTATTACGGCTTCCTTAAATACTCAAGTACTTTCGCTTGTACGTTCAGACACCATCAGGCATGGAAATTATTTTGTTTTTGATAAAATTCAGGTAGGATGCGAGACGAAAAAATATAATGAGAATCGAAACGTTTTTTCCTAAATGTTTTATTCATAGCATATACAAACTCGTGGAGCGTTCAGTCGCAACGCTAAGGTTGAATTTTTGGGAAATTTAAGAGAGTACGTTTTTTACTAATATGGTAATTTAAGAATTTTTTTTATTGCAGGATTTTATCAGTTAACGTGGCATTACTGCACCATATATATATATATATATATATATATATATATATATATATATATATATATATATATGTGTGTCTGTGTGTGTGTGTGTATATATATGTGTGTGTGTATATATATATATATATGTGTGTGTATATGTGTGTATATATATATATATATATATATATATATATATATATATATATATATATGTGTGTGTGTGTGTGTGTGTGTGTGTGTGCGTGCGTGTTTTGTTGATCATAATTTTGTAACTACATGATATCTTTGTTGATCACGTGATTCTCAGGGCTGCTTCTACACTGGAAATAGAAATCTGTGACATTTTCTGTCTTCTGTTTATCTTTCAATCTGTTGTCTTTAGAAAACCGCACGTTCATATAATCTTTGAAAGTATTGCTTAAAGAAAATAAAAAGTACATTCCCAAAGAGTTTCAGTGAAATTTATGTATATTTTTCTCAGCGAATGAGAGAAGGGACAGTATTTAATAATCCTAACAATAAATTGTGTTGTCTTTATCACAAACATTTTCTTTTTTATTATCATAGGAGCGAAACGGAACGGAATTATTTTCAGCGTATTGAAAAACAAATATTGCTATAAAACTTTTGTGATTTTCTCTTCATTAGGCAATTGTAAGCCAAAAATAGACATTTTCTGTTTAAGAACTTTGGCTTATATATACATTGGATCATTTATCTGGGAAACTTTATCATCCAGTAATAGTTCCTTTTTGTGCTGTTTCAAGACGTGGGCGATCATAGCTCTCTTCACGTTTCTATGCTTTGTAACGCTAAGAAATATTTGTTCCTTTACTAACCACCCCCAGTTCATGGTCTGACATCCATTTACACAAGTTCGTTTGGTAGGCTACTCGCAGATTCCCTCTGTTCCACTTGCCTTCTGTAAGTATCAAATTCTTTGAACCGATTTTCTCCTAAATTACAATCTCATTTTGATTCTACGTATAAGGCTTCTTTTCTTCTGTTTTCCTTAATGTCCTCATTGGTCACATGCTCTGTTCATGATATTCCATGTATTCGTCGTTATGAGAAAATCTGTTGTCTCAGGTCTCTTCTTCATCTATGAGGGAAATGTCCAGTATTCATTGCTGTAAACTAGGATTTTAACGATTTTGTTTAGCATCTGTTGTGAGTTCAATTCCTGCTGGATTCCCCATGTATATAACCTCTTACAAGGCTAAGATAAGCTATGTAAATAAATTCCCCCATAGTATACAGTGCTGTTCGATAAAAGTGACTCACCTTATCCTTTGAATTTAGCTCAACTTTCGTTTCATCGGAGAAGAGAACATTCTCTTTTGTAAGAGTGATCCCATTCAAGTCTCTTGGCTTTGTTGGGTTTGCTTATTAGCGGCTTAAACCTTCGTGTACAAGATTTTTAGCTTTGTTCTAACAAGATTTGTAACCTTGTTCTGATGGACTGTTGAAGAGGCAAGACTAACACGTTGTTCTTCGCTTAGACTGGCTGCAATTCCTTGGCTAGTTATAATCCTATTCTTCGCAACTTCTCACTTGATTACCCTGGCAGTTATATCATCAATCTTTTTCTTTCGTCCCCTTGTTTCCATCCTTGGAGCAGGAGTGGCATCATTATGTACCCTAAGCACTTGAGAGACAGTTGATTGCGAGGTTATAACAATTTCTGCAATTTCTCTCGTAGACTTGCCTGCTTTTGAGAGGGCAATAATAGATGTCTTAAGTGGTTCTGATGCGTGTTTGTACACTTTCATCTGGTTAGTGACTTGAGTGGCTATTTCAAGCTGTTTTTATACTGTATAAGGCTTTCTGGAATATTGTGGAATACTCTAGATTTAATTTAAGCTGTTCTAGAATTCTCTAGAATATTGTTCTGAGTGTATTGTAAAATAGTTTTCAATATTTTGTCAAAAGCTCTTTAAATTTACCAGTTTAATCAATAGAATTTGATATCATTTTTTTGCTGAATCTTTTTGATTTTTTTTTCCTGTATCACATTTATATCCAAATTTATAATTATCAATAGAATACCTTAGAGTGAATAAACTGTTTTCCTAGGTAATCCGGAAGGGGTTTTTTATTAGTGAGAGTAAAAATTATTTTAAACCCAAAAGCAATAGACAAAAATATTTTAAGTAAAAAAAATCAGGTGAGTCACTTTTATCGAACAGCACTGTATTTACTCCGGATAGGTTAGTATAGCACAAGATAAGTTTGGGGAACGGGGTAGGGTGATTGTCCCTTTTAACCTTCGACGTGAAAGGTCATAACTTCGCTGAAAATAAGCATTTGGAATTATGAGATTTTTTATAAAATTATATATTTATTTTAAATAAGAATAAAAAACGATGCATTTCTTTTCTTTCTTTTGATGTGCCATGTCCCTTAAGGACGTAGGCAATCATGGCCCTCCACTTCCCCTAACCCTTGTAGCTCTCAATAAGTCTTGTCCCTTTGCTTCTTCTCCCAGGCTTTGTTCTACCTTCCACTTGCTCGCTATGTCCTGCTAGATATGTCATGCGTTGCCTCTTTCCCTCTATTCGACCTGTGAATATCAGATTCTTCAAACCCTCCTTTCTTATTACGCGTCCCAGAAATTTCAACTGCTTCCTTCTGATGTTAAGTATAAGCTTCCTTTGTGTTTGCATCCTCTTGAAAACCTCTTCGTTGCTCACACATGCATCCTAAGTAAAAAAAAAAAAAGTCCATCCCAGTGTTGTTGGAAAATAAAACTGTATTTGTTAAATATATTACATGGATATATGATCGTGTCAAGTTCAGAAGATTCGCTAACGATGGAAAATCCTCACCAAAAGCAAAATAAACAAATAAATGGTTGAGGTTTGAATGTTGTCAGCGGCATAAAAAGAAGAAACACTAACTTGATCTCTCAGCGGTTGAGCTCAATTAAGTTTCATAAAACGTTAACCTGAAAACTAGAGTTATGTTCTAAAATAGATTCGCCAGATGGAGACTTTTATATGGATGTCATAAAAGGCATCAAACCAGTTCAGAGATATTTAAGCTGCCAGTTCTGTATGCAATCGCTTTCAAATATCAATGGTCAAAAATGGCTTTGAGCAAGTGAAATCTGTGAGTCTGTGCGAAAAGCAGCCTTCTTCGAGCCATGTCGACTGGCGATAAGACATTACAAACGAAGAACTGTACCAGACAACAGGAATCACATTACTTGAGGACTTTCAACAGCAGCAACAACTAAAATGGATATCACATATAACTCTAAGAAAAAACATAATGGTATAATGAAGGTTTTGAAATTCCAAACTACAAATAAAAGATTAAGAAACAAAAAACTGGAAGGAGCAATAACAGCTACTGCACCTGAGAAACCTATTTTCTTGAAAAAATCTTTAAGATTTTATAAATTTCAAACGACAGCCGGCGTGTTTCGTCTTATATTCAAAACTATGACTTGGCTAGTGGCCGTTAATTTCACTCTTTGAAAAAAAAGCGGCGGTGTTCCCAAAAATAATGTTCGTAGTAATGGAATTTTATATAAATATATATGTTTAGACAAGGGAGAAAGAAAGAAAGATGAAGTGGAAGAGATAAATGATTTATGGATAGATCTACTAATAAACAGTAATAGGTACACACCAGTACAAACACTGTCACACGAAAGCATGTAAATATCGAAAGACGCAGACAGATATAAAATACTTGACCGTTTTTATTTTTTTTTAAAGAAAAGTAAACCCAACGTCAACATAATTAAAATTTAACGTCGAATATATTTTTTGGATAATCGACCATTATCATTTCTCTGTCCATTCGAATCAGATAAGATGTGTCTGTATACGGACGAAATCTCAAAGAAGAAAAGTTTCGAAGATTAAGAAAAAAAAGCGCATTCATTCATGATACAAATACGTTCAGAAAACTTAAAATAATTTAGTTTAATTTTATTTTATTGTATTTTCTCCTTTATATTTTTTGTAATTTTTTTTAACCTTTTGCTTAATGAATTTAGCTTCTGAGCACAGTGGAAATATATATATATATATATATATATATATATATATATATATATAAAACAAGGAAAAGATAAAGAGCTAATTCGTAAAGCTTGAAAAAGAGGAAGCTCTTTCTTTAAATGAATTGAAAAAACAAATAAAAATATAGAAAAAAAAAGAAGTTGGTGGAACACAGAACTGTTAGCTTGGAATGAAGGCAAAAGAAGACGGAAAAGAACGGAAAAAAGAAATAAAAATGTCCTCGAAAAATGAATAACACCAACAAGCAAAGCAAGCAGGTATCAATCAATAATGAATCAGAAAGTAGAAAGACAAAAATAAAGAAAAGTTTAAAATGAAAGAAAGGGGTTTGGAGATGAAAAAATATTTTAGTTAAAACATAGAATGAAGGAAAGAACGAATAAAAATGCGAAAAAAAGAGAAAATAATAAAAATAAACGAAAGAAAACATGATCTTTTTTCTTAATAGCCTTAAGGAAGACGATCGTTTTGATCTCTTTTGCACGTTCGAAAAAAATTCTCCTTTTCTGGTACTTTTCAAGTAATGGATGAGTTAAATGTCGGAATGTCCTTGACATTGCCAGCACGGTGTATGTTCCAGAGCTGTCGGCGCATTACACATCGTACACTTTTTCAGAATGGCCACGATCTGATGCATTTTACCGCAGTTCAGTAAAAAGAAACAAAACAAAAAAAAACAGATGTTCCTTTGTTCCAGATTTATAGTATCATAGATGTTAAACAAGACAGGACTTATCAAATGGCTTAAATGTTGCACAATCCAATGAGTCTTTCTACTCACATAATCCATACATGTTTGCGGCACACCTCATATAAACCGATCTTGCAGTTCCTTCTTCACAACGTAATAATTAGAGATTCCTGGAGGAGGCACAGTGGATAGCCGCTCAAATTGAGGAATGGGAGAGCCGAGTTCGAATTCCAGTCGAATCTATTACATTCACTTACGTGCTAAAACCCTTGGGAAAAGTATGAATCTTCTTCTCTCACCAGATATGGCTAAATAGCAGGACGGACCGGGTTCTATAGCCTTTGATGACAAAGAAACGCAGAAAGAAACGGTAACCTACTGCTGGAAAAAATCTGCCTCGTCAGTCATGTAACGAAAGATAAATAATTGATTAGCGTGTCTCATGTGCGGCACATAACTGACTGACTCCATTGTTATATTAACAGGAAACATTCCAAGTCATCAATAAACGAAAATGATTTATAACTGGGGTCTAGGCTGTGAATAGATTTCTTTTTATTTGTGGTAGATTTCTTTGAAAATTTTTTATTTTTAATGATTTAAAAGAATAAATTTTTCTTCTTCTTCTTCTTCTTCTTCTTCTTCTTCTTCTTCTTCTTCTCCTCCTCCCTCCTCCTTCGATGTACCGTGTCCTTTCAAGACCTAGATCATAGCTCGCCTCATTTTCCTCTCCGTTGTATCTCTTAGTAAATGTATTTTTCTCTTTCCTAAAAGCTGATATTCCAGCCATCTACAATAGCTCGTTAGGTTTGATAAGTTTTCAACTATTCCTTCAATCATAAATATGCCCTGTGAGTGTCGAATTTTCCAAGATCTCTTTCCTCATTATATACCCTAGAAATTCAACTTTATCTTTTTGGTAAGTATAAGTGTCTTTTATATTTCCATTTTCCCCTAAAACTTCATCGTTGCTCAAATATTCAGTCCCTCTTATTTTCATCATCTTTTTTTTCTGTTGCTTTAAATCTCTTCTTAAACGTTATCTTTTTTCAATAAATATCCTATATTACCCATGCATAAAATATTACAAATGCTGTTGTTATCCTTACCAATGCTTTTGCTATCTCAACGCATCTTCGGATTTCAGTGCCGCATATTCCATTTTCTGTTAAAACACCTACCAGATATTTATATTGATGTACTTGTTTGAATTTGGCAGCTTCAATTTATAATTTTCCTGTTGGCCTGCTCAACAGGAAAGTTGGGTCGCTTACAAACATGCATTCTGTCATCTTGCAATTGATGTTTCTTACTTTCTTAATAGTGATAAGAAAAAGATGGCTTAATTGATTGATTTGTTTTTTACGGTCTATCAACAATTATTATTTTGCAGGTTATTAGCAGAGGTTTTTGGTGATAGTAAAAATAATAATATACTATTAATTAATCCTATTAATTAACCCATAGCTGGGGGAAAAGAGATGTATTCATACGTTTCCCAAAGGTATTTGCACGTAAGTAAATATATGGAACCCAACTGAAATTGGAACTCGGCTCTCCGATTTTCACTTTTGAGCCGTTATCCATGTCACTATTCGCAATTCCAAACTTTCAGCAACTGGAAAATTGACCAGTCTCGACGTTGCTTAACCGTGGTAATCGTTCGAAACCAGCATTTCTTCGTGCTATGGTTGTAAGCATTTTTTTCTAATCCCCTATTGCTTTTGTATTTTTCTTAAACTTTCTTTCTTTCTTTCTTTCTTTCTTTCCAATGATCGCCCTTTACCTTTTTTAGACATTTCTATTCCACCTTTCTTTCTTTCTTTCTTTCTTTCTTTCTTTCTTTCTTTCTTCTGTCTGTCTGTTTTATTCTTTCTTTCTATCTTTCAGTCTGCCTATCTGTCTATTTTCTTCTTTCTATCAGTCTGTTTTCTTTCTTTTTTTTTTAAAGGCAATTCACCCCAAGCAAGGCGGGAGTGTCACTAGCACGCAAGGGTTACAGAGGATTGAGAACAAGAGTAAAGAGGCGGGTTTGAGGAAAGGATACAGAGAAGGACGCTTAACAAGCTCAGATGTCAATTAACATCACACTTGAATATTTGAAGATTATAGTCATCGAGGAAGCAAGTAAGGGGAAGAGAGTTCCACAGACGGGAAGTGCGGGAGAAGAAGCTGTTTGAGAAGACGAGATGGGTAAATCTTTCTTTATTTCTGTTTGTCTTCTTCTTTATTTCATTCTTTCTTTCTGTGATATTTTGTAAATACGAAGCAATTTTAAAATTATTTATATACTGAAATTAATTTTGACGATATCTTCTATGTGCCGTTCTACTTTAGGTTGTGGACGATCATGGCTCCAAACAATTTCCTTTCAATTGTTGCTCTTAGTAAAGTTTGCCTTCTGACTATCACTCTTCATTCCTGTTCTGCCATGTCAGTTTTCTTTCTGCACCTTTTGCCCAAATATATCCAGTGATTACCAAATTCACCAAGGCTCGTTATTCATTATGTGTTTTACAAATTTCTCTTATCCCTTTTTGATTCTAAATAAAGGCATCTTTTTTCCATTTTCCCTAAAACTTCCTCGATATTACAGTTTACATTATTCTACCTTCTGTAGAACCATATTTTTCTTGCCTCAAATCGCTTCTTCATCCACGTCCTGGATAAGACAATAGACTACATCCAATGCTAAGTTGAGAAGAGCACCTCTTAATTTCTCGTTTTCCCATGTCTACCCTGACCTGTAGTGGTAGTACCTGTTAGGGTCCCAGATATGGGCAAATAGTTAGCCCCAAAGCTGATGTCAAAACACTGTGTAAGTGTAAAAATAGGTTTTAATACAAGCAATATATTTTTGTAAAAGAAAATGTTACCAGCAATACATTTTTGGAAAAAAAATATTACCACCAATACTTTTTTGTAAACATTATTACCAGCAATAAAAATCTTGTCGGCATTAAATAACCCATTAAGATTGATATGCTGTAACCCAAACCAAACCAAACCAAACCAAACCAAACCAATCTTCTTCATCTGTGACGAGATTGTCCAGCATTCACTGCTTTAGAGAAGAACTGATATTGCATGACAATTTAGTACTTTTTTCCTTTATTTCTAATGAAATTATCCCGTTTCTTAATACTTTGCTTAACTTTTGGAAGTCATTTTTCGTTATTGGAATTCACCTTCTGATTTTGGTGTCGCATTTTACGTCCTTTGTTACATGACAATATAGGTCAACTAATTCTTATACAAAACTGTGTTGACGTCGAATTAAGAAATAAAACCAGAAAGAGAGATGAAAGGACCAAAACCAGAATTCATGGTCGTCAGCAATAGAAATAAAACAAGCTGTAAAATTAAAATTGCGAGTCAAGAAAGTAAAGAAATTGAAGTGTAGTTGCAGACGACCGGAAAAATGACATAGAAATCCGAAAGTGCATTAGAACAGTGAAAATAAATTTAGAATTTGGAAATATAAAATATCGTGCCTGTCTATATTTCTGAGATGAGGTACTATATACATCATTTACATTATTCGGACTATTGTCCTTATCTTTGTCGCCATATTTATCACAACGTTTTGGCCGTTGTACGCTCCGGTCTTCAGTTCGACATTCCAACCACCTGAAGAAGGCCGGAGCGTACAACGTTGCGATAAACATGGCAACAAAGATGAGGACAATAGTCCGAATAATGTAAATAATGTATAAAATTTCGTAATAAACAAAAAAAAGAAGTGATGAACTGTTATATAAATTTACTCTTCTTATATGGCAGTGAATGCTGAACGAGTATTTTTTACAAAGGGAAAGCAAGTTGAAAGCGATGGGGATGCCGATCTATGCCAGGGGTGACCAAACTTGCTCAATGTAAGAGCCACATACGATAAAATTCAGATGTTTGATAGCCGCAAGACATAAAAAAAATTACACATACGTTTTTTTTGTTACATACAAATTAACATTAAACTTTAAATGCAATTCATACCCAGTAAATTATTATGAAGCTTGAATTTTATCTTTTATATTAACTGTAATGAAAACAGGAGCTCAGACAACATATTTCCACGAGCTGCATATTAAAGATCGAATACCCGCCTGTGGCTCGCGAACTGCGGTTTGACAAGCGAGACTATGCAAAGAATACCATGGATTGAACATGTGAGCAATGGCGAAGATTTAAAGAAAACAAGAACTAAAAAGGGCACTGCTACAGAGAGAGACAGCTGATATTTATGGGACATACCGGGTGTAACCGCAAAATTGTCCAAATCATGTAACAGCAAAATTGTCCATTTGTTAGATTAAGCTTTGAACGTATCTTAAAATGATTTAAAATATCTTACTGGGATTCTCCGAGATTTTTATAACACTATTAGACTCTAATTTGAACAATAAGAATGTATTTAGCTCTAAGTTAAAATGATAATGCCTCTGGCTGTTTTGACCTTCTGATCAAGTTTTCCTTTCTACTGTTCCCCCTTTTTTAAACTTATTCACTGTTCTCTTGATGGTTCTTGAATGATCTTTGAAGATGGAAACCAGAGTATGAATGTTGGTACCATTCCTGAAGGCGTAAATGCTCTTTTTCCTCTAACCATTGTTCATTTAGGAATACATAGTGGGGCTGGCAAAAGACAATTTTAACCTGTTCTCTTTTTGGCTGAATAACTCAAAGGATTTTAATGAGTCTTCGAACACATAGTGACAAGATGGCTAAACGTTTTATCTGAAAACCTGGAATAAATTAAATAGTTTAGTGGTTTTTAGATATTAAACATTTTGTGATATGTACAATTATCCCATATTTTTACACGATTTGGATAATTTGGCATGTTGAGGATGAGATAGATTGATTTTTTTACGGTTTATCACCCTTTTGTGGGTTATTTAAAGCCCAAATATAATTTTTGGATTGTAAGTAGAATTACTGTTTTTATGCGTGAATATTACATTACTAATTTTTTGAAGATAACAAAAACTTTTACAAATACAAATCCTGGCTGGTAAGAGAAGGTCGATTCATGCCTTTCCCAAGGTTATTGTTGCATGAGTGAATGTAACAAACTCAGCTGAAATTCGAACTCGGCTCTCCGAATTGTCATGCGCTATCAAGCGCACATGCAATGTAAGAAAAGGGTTTAGATAATTTAACATTCATAAGACATATTTTAGGAAAAGGCTTGGGAAAAAATCGAATTACGTATTAAACGTTTTTATTCGAATAGATTGTGGAATATGTAATGTTGGGGAAGTGTTCGAAAGTTGCTTAATACTAAAAGGTACAGGAAGTTGTGAAGAGACGTTATCGTCCACATCCTGAGGAAACACGTTACATAAAATGGCGGAATTTATTGAGTTCTGGAGAGTTTCATTATATTAATTAATATTTAAGTAAGATTTGTTTTCAAGATATTTGCTTTCCTCACACCACAACTGGACATCTATAAATCACAAACGGTTCTATTTAAACGCAAAATTACGTCTGTGAGAACAAAATTACGTCTGTGAGAACAATAAGATGACAGGAATTCAAAGTAAAAGCTTAGGAAAAAATCGTTTGGACGAAATATTTAGTAAACAAATATTTTGTCTAACAGCTGAAGACAAAAATATCCAAAATATCTGAATATTTTAAGTACATGTATATGACGTTGATACAACAATTTCTAATATAATTTCAATTTGATTCATAATCAATATTTGGTACGAGATTTGATTAATAATTTGAAATGGAAAGAATTCAATATATACATAGTTGCCATATATATTCATATATAGAACTACACGCAAGATATCCCAGAAAAAGAAAGATAAAGCCATTCTTCAACAAACGAAATTTCTACTTTGAGATTTGTAATGATATTAGAACACCAATTTATTACGGCTGTTCAGTCTGTAGCAGTATCTTCTTTGTTTAATGGCGATATATTCTCTTATATATATAATATATATATATATATATATATATATATATATATATATATATATATATATATATATATATTTATATATATATATATATATATATGTGTGTGTGTGTGTGTGATAGGTTCTGATGGAATATTATTATAGCCGTAATAGCTTCTTTTTTAAAAATATATTGAGTCGCGTCTTGTATACGACACGCAGTTCGCCTGGTGACTGAGAAGTCATATCGGGAGAGAAAGAAGACAAGTCTTGTCACGACAGCTTTTTTTTAGAGAGAGAGAGAGAGAGAGAGAGAGAGACTGACTGACTGACTGACTGACTGACAGACAGACTTGTATTTATCTGGCCTTTTATTTTATATTGTTTTATATAATGCCGCCTAACTGATGTTAGGAGAAGCTCCCTGGAGGAATAGGTATAGTAATTCGAAAGTTATAAAGTAGTTCATTTTACGTTAACTGTGACCAAACAGCTCCGACTTCTCTCGCTTTGGTTTCGGCGTTTTCTTCAAAGTTTGGAGGGAAATTAGAACGTATATAAAGTATGAAGTTCCTCTTTAGTCTAAAAAGCAATTCTCTTTGTCTGAGTCTTCCTGGGAGCATCGAAGTACACGTCAGTTAGACCTAAACGAAATTTCATCTTCTTCCCCTAAATTCTGCAATTATCTGGCTGCTATTTATAAATTCCCATGCTTAAAGGTCCATGATTAAATATTTATATAGATCATGTGATATGATTATGCGTTCTGTCTTCATTCGATGTTACACGTGTAATATTGCCGCGTTAATTGAGCTGTAACAACATGACATTCTGTGATTATAACATGCTGTTAAATATATGCACATACAATTTCATACCATTGTTATTCAGTAAATTAAAATATACTCAGCAACATTTTATTATCGCATACGTCAATTTTCAGGTAAATTGAGCATTGTTTTAGAAGTGTTTTTGAATCAATGAATATTTCGAGTAAATTCTGTATTCAATC